GCCTCCAGCCACGAGGCAAGGTTGGAGCTGAAGTAAACCATCTGGGTGGATTTTATAGATACTAGCCCCTGCTATTTATCACTGTTGGTCATAAATTTTTGGTAGTAAAGGGGAAATATCACCATTGGTTTGTTGTGATTTTTTTAGTCTCTGAGTAATATTTCTGTAGCATGGTGAGAAAACCAACTATAATGATAGGCCTAGGGATTTCTCCTTGTGAAAGTGAGACGTAAAGGAGCTCTATGTGTAGCTTTGTGTCTTCACTGCATTATCAAAACAGTGCAAGTGACAGCATGTACCTTATGAGTCCATTCATTTTTAAAGGCTGTGGAAATGGAAATTTCCCTGTAATTTCCATTTCTAGTCTTCTTCCTCCTTGACTGTGCCTAATCTAGTAGGTTAAAACAAAAGCATTCATCTAGAATGCTTCCCTTAATAGAATCAGAGAAAAGTAAATAACTGTTATTTCAGAAACCTGGATTTAAAGAAGCATTACTTTATATGAAAGAATGTAGAAAAAATGAGATGCGAGATTAATTACAAGTAATACAGCAAAACAAAACCAGAATACTTTGTTTTCTTTTATAAAATTATGCATTTTTATTTATTTTTAAAGAATAAGAAAAAGCTGCTCAATTCATGTGATTTAAATCAAACCAGTTTCAAAGCAATTTATTAATTTATTAATGACATATAACTAACCAGCAGTCGGTGAGCTCTACTTTCAGGATCAGTATCAGCAATACAAAAGATAAACTACAATACTAGACGCTTAAGCAAGGTTAGTAAACAATTGCAAATTTCTAAACATCCTTCTATAAATAATCCCAAAAAGTTCTAATCACACACATCAATGCACAGAGCTAGGTGTGCACCAAGGGCCCCCCCCAGGCTGTGTGGGTCACCAGCAGCCCCCTGGGAGAGGAACAGAAGTTCCCACATTCTCCATGTGGAACATATGGCTGCTGACCACCCTCTGACCCACACAGGGAAAAAAACACTCCACTAGGCCCCACACACACACCACTCCTGACCACCCTCTGACCCACACAGGGAAAAAAACACTCCACTAGGCCCCACACACACACCAAGGGGGTCCTTGGTGTATCAGTCCACATGGGCAGTTCTGTCCAGGCTGGAGGGAGTTTGTGATGTTGGTGACCACTTCTCGTAATGTCAAACCATGTCCAGCTGCTGCCCTCCTCCCACCTCCCTCTCTCTACTTTTACAAACTGCCATGCTGCTTTTGCCCTTATTTTCAAGCTGACCTTTGCTTCAGGAGACTCTAAGTCCCTGGTTACTACTCAGTCCAGCTGGTGGTCATCTTTACCTCTGGCTTAACAAGTTTGAAGCAAATGTCCCCTAAGACAATTTGGGTTATTTCCCTCAACACAGATGGGATGCACTCACATTCCTCTTTTTTCAGCTGTTGCTGTCCATGACATTTTGCTGTGGAAGAGCCATGTGGTCACCCTTCCAAATCTTTATTTAAGGGAACACAGATTTGTGAAGTCAAGTACTGAAAATTACTGTTAATGCCTTTCTGTGTCATGATGGGGGGGGGGGGGGTGGGGGGGGGGTGGGGGAAGACACCTTTGTTTTCGATATTCAACTATTGCCATTCCTTTCTCTGTTACATTAGGCTAGTAAGAGCTTCAAGGTTCTATCTAAACCTCAACCTATGGATTTTCAGATCATAGAATATCCTTCCGTAAAATGGAAACCATTATTAAGTGCACTTAAAAACATATATATAAAAGGCATAGAGTATAAATCCCCATCTCAGAAGAAAACCTGCATTCCTGTTTGTTCAGGATTTTAGAATGACACTGTTCTGAAATCTTCGCAGTAGTCGCAGAAAAAAAAAATAAATCGCTTAGTGTTGTGTATTTCTGGACAAAGAGTTACTCCTTAACCTGAATTTCTTGAAATGGCTTTGAACAAATATTTTGATCTGATATTCAAAGCATTGATGTGGTATTCAAAGCATGAAAGAAAATAGTTCCTCATCAAGAAAAGACAGATTTATGAATTCAGTTTGTGTCATGTGGGGCTGACACTTTGCCATGATGATTAGTTTTTAAATTACGAAAATTTGTTCTTGCAATTAATGAGAATCATCAGAGAACTGTGGAAGCAAAAAATCTTCATTTGTCTAACATCAGATATTCATTGACTGCAGTTTTACTCAGTCACCTTTTAGTACATTTGGAAAGAATTCAAAATCACAAAGATCAACCAGCTTTAGCTTGATGCTGCTAGAAGAGCTAAAATGTGTTTAGGCTCTGAATATTAATTGCCATGCTGCTTTAAAGGTTACAACAGTCACTTTCTCCCAGGGAGGTCATAGTTCTGATTGAATAAAGGCTTAATTATAGAATATTATAGAACATTGCAGTGAGCTGCAGCAACAAAGACAGCAAGTGGGTTATTCTTTCTTTGACAGTCCTAAAAATATAATACAGGCATGTGAAAAAGAGAAAAACACATCTGTTAAAAAAACTGAGGCAATTATGGATTAATAGTTTGTTTGGTTTTTCCTCATTGGTATAGAAGAGAAAAAAGAAGATGGTACTTCTAGTCTAACTACTGTGCTTGCCATTATTAGAGACTTTTTAATGAGAAAGCTGTATCAAATGCTATTTAGCAATAAGGATATGATTTGTATTACTGCAATTGAAGCAACTGTTTTATGAAAAATACAGGGACTCATCAGACACTTGCTGACATTATATACCTATTAATAATTACTGATTAAATATGAAGAAGATTCTTTTGGGTGCAAGGTAATACACTCCATTCAGTCATGCTGTCCTGGTTTCGGCAGGGATAGAGGGAATTTTCTTCCTGGCAGCTGGTGTAGTGCTGGGGTTTGGATTTAGGGTGAGAAAAATGTTGATAACACACTGATGTTATAGTTGTTGCCAAGCAGTCAAGGACTTCTCAGCTTCTCATACTGCCCTGCCACCAAGAAGGTGGGGGGCACCCAGGAAGCTGGGAGGGGACACTGCCAGGGCAACTGACATAAACTGTCCAAAGGGGTATTCCGTACCGTACGACATCTTTTAGTCTAGAAAACATCACTTTTAGTCGGGGGGGGGGGGGGGGGGGGGGAGCCGTGGCTGGGAAGTGGAGGAGCTTGAGGTCTTGCAGACCATTGACTTTGAGTGGTGAGAAATTACCACCACTTTTTCACTTTTCATCACTTTTTTTGTATATTCATTAATACTATTATTATTATTATCATCATCTTCTTCTTCCTTTTTTATTCTATTAAATTGTCTTTATCTCAACCCACAAGTTTTTTTTTTCTTTTCCATTTTCAATTCTCTCCCCCATCCCCCATGGCTGTGTGGTTGTTCTAGCTGCCTGCCACGTTAAACCATGGCATATGCCCAACTTTGCATGCAGAACTTTATGCTGCTATAACATAGACCATATATCATTACATATTTGGAGTGTGATCTTGCTTTTAAACCTTGAGGTTGGATTTTGCACCTCACTGTAGGAATTTTATCACAGAAAACATTACGGAAATACATATGTCAAGGTCTGACACATCTAATTTCTTCTTCTTTCTCTTTCCTTTCCTTCTCTTCCACTTCCTCCACATTGTGGATCCCTTCCATCTTGTGAAGTTTTGTTCTTCCTATCACCGAAAGAATAACTACAGCCAGTGCAAAGTGATCTGTTCCACTTTGCCAAAGCAGGTGAAATGTTCTGCAAGACCTTTTTTCCCCTAGGGACCTCAGGATTCCCTTGCAGTCCTTCCTAGGAGCATGAAGGTCTTGTCACAGCAGGCCAAGCTGGCTCAAGATTACAGACTGCCTCATCTCAAACTGCTCCAGGACTACATAGCTCCTGAGTTCTGGGGCCCTCTTCTGGCAAATTTGTCTGAACTGAAAATTAGCTTGGAAACATCAGCCAAGTGATTTCCTTATTTTGTCTTGATAAGCAGCTGTCAGGTGTCACTAAATCAGTAATGTTCATCTGAAAACTTCCCTATGCTGTAAGGTATTTCTTATAGACCTCTGACTTCCAGTTGTCTGCCAGGAAAAGGGAGTTAAAAAGAGGAGTGTGAATACATCGCTCGATGTGGTAATTTGGATGTAGCACAAGGTCTTAACTGTGAATGATAGGCAGCGTGGATAACTGCAATGTTTCACCTTAGCTGGTTTCAGAAAAACAAAATTAATCTCAGTCCTAGTCTTTCGGTCATTTTGTTCTCAGTTGCAAGACAAGCAGCAAACGTGTCATGCTTTGTTTCTAAAATCTGATAACCACAGTACAGGAACAAAAAACAGCAGTGCAGCTTTCTCCGTAATTTCCAAGGAAAGACACAAAACCTGATTTGTTCAGATAAAATCTCCCAACCAAAGACTGAATTGCCAAGGATTTACCTGCTATCTTCCTAATAAATATCCTCTGTGAAATTGGAGTGTAATTTTTTCCTAGACCTTTTTCCTGTTCCTTTTACTATTTTCTTCATCCTTCTTTTTCTATTTCTGAGTATGTCTATCTATATGACAAGTACAATAATTTAAAGAGCTATGTAGTTCAGGACAGTTTTGGTGTATGGTAAGGAGCATTTAAATTAATGTGTTAGAAAGCCTTGTTCTCAGTGGAAGACTGAGTATCTCACTTCTTCTTTGCACAAAAATGATTTCCTAAGTCTTTGTACCTTACTCAAATACAGTTATCATATGTTTAAAATCTTCCGTGTGCATCGTTACATTGATAGAATTATTTCAAAAAGGAAATAATGATTTTTCACAAATGTGACCTCTTCAGTAGGGAAAAACAAAGCAAAACCAAACAGCATACAGAATGAGTTCCACTGCCTGCACTGGAGACATTTAACTAAGACTGTGACCTTTAAAAAAAAGAAAGAAAAAAAAAAAAAAGCCCAGAAGATGAAAAGATGAGAAGATGTGTTGTGAATATGTGGATTCCCTGTAGCTAACTCTGTGTCTGGTGAACTAAAATTATCTTTTTTTGCCTTACAGGTTTTTTAAGTACTGGGGACCAAGCTGCAAAAGGCAATTATGGATTGCTTGACCAAATCCAAGCTTTACGTTGGATAGAAGAAAATATTGGATCTTTCGGAGGAGACCCAAAAAGAGTTACTATTTTTGGATCTGGGGCAGGAGCTTCCTGTGTCAGTCTCCTGACGCTCTCTCACTATTCAGAAGGTAACAATTTCCGAGCAAAGCATTTCTTTTTTTTAAGCATTATAGTGTAACAAAAGTGACCATATCACATCATAGACTGAATTAGAATTACATGAAGTCTGTAATTTTTGTAAAATACCTACTAGCTAGTATTCTGGATTTGTATTAGTCAACATAAATATTTTTATATGAAAAACTAAATGTTATTATAGCAGAAATTTCGTGCAACAAATGCCATGGGCAATATACTTTTTCTAGCTCTATCAACAATCTTCACTGGCTCTTCTATCAAAGAATTTGCCCTAATTAAAACAGAAAAGGGCAGTGACCTTTTTCATTTTTTACACACACTTGTCTGCACTTCAAACATGTATTTAGATGCTTTCCTCACTTAATAATAACATAACTTAACCCTACTAAAAATGTATTTATTTAACTCCCCACAAGTACTGTGGGATCCCACACAGAGTTCTTAATATTTTGGTAAAAGTTGAGCTGTGGGATTTCTACCTTCAACCCCTCAGCCCCCCCCAAAAAAAAAAACAAAACAAGAATGTACAGCACCACTACTGAACCATATATATTCCTAGTGATAAGACCAAATCTACAAAGAATTTATGAAAGAAGACAAGATCAAAATATCTATTGTATTTATAAGTCCATGTTACTTCTATCTAATTAAAACAGATGGAAATCTATGGCAGAAGGCTAAGCCCTAGCAAGCAATTGTAGCAGGGCTGCTGGAAAACACATCCTATTTGGAAATAAATATAATCATGCCTGACAATTTTGTCTGTTGAAACAAATAGAGTGCAGTGAATACCTGTTGAGTAAGTCATGCCAAAATCAAGGAGATGGAACCATGAAAAACTTAACTAATCACATCAGTGAAATTTTGTAGCATGTGCAGTAAGTAATCTTCACAAAGGTATACTGACCACAGTCGGTTTTTCCCATAAATGCTTCAAGGTCTTTAAATGTTTTTTGTAGCTCTTGCTGCCTTTGACATTTCAAGAGCTTGACAGTAGAAAGCATGTACAGAAGAGGGCCAGGAATTTTAGTTGAAGTATAAAATACGCCATTTTAGTGATCTTACCAGGAAAAAACAGATGGGGCAGATTCACCAGTAAATTCCAGTTGCTTTTCAATGCTCTGCTGACACAAAGAAGCTCTTCAGACTAGGTCTTTCATCTCTTTTTATATTAGCACATATAAAACAACCAGAAAGGACTACTGAATCTCATCTTACTGTCTTCCAAAAAAATGGAAATATATTTTAATTCAATGTATAGGCGGTGATAACACACACACAAAATAATATTAAGATGGTAAAGGAAAAATGATGTCAGAGTAGAAGACTCAAGCCTATTAAATTGATTTTAGCAGAGCACATTTTTTTCAAATTATATGATGCATGGCTTCTTTGAAGGAAATGAGAGTGTGTAATTTTCATTTGACCTTTAAACTACTGAAGAGCGCATTTATGAGAACCATTTACATGGCGAAGAGAATATGATTGCTTGTAGCTACCAGTCCTTTAAAGAAATTTTTATAGGACTACCACTGTGCTAAAGCCAGGGGACTTCCATTAAATATGCAAGAAAACTGCGGTACAAGCATGAGTTTTGTTCTTGAAACAGTAACCCGAAATCTTCATGCTTTATGTGCGTGAGCATCATGAACAAGAAAGATTTTAATTAGTAGCCTATTAGAGATACTATAAAAAGTGAGCAGTGAGTAGAATATATGGAAATTGACTTGAAATTTAGGTATATACATCCTTTAGTTATTGTATAATCAAAGCTTTCTTTGCTTAGTGAAAGCTGCTGCTTTTTTTTTTTTTTTTTTTCCTAATATATAATTGGATTTGCATTTAAACAATTTGCACCTGCAGGTTTGTTCCAAAAGGCAATCATACAGAGTGGAACAGCCCTGTCCAGCTGGGCAGTGAACTACCAGCCTGCCAAGTACACTCGGATATTGGCAGATAAAGTGGGCTGCGACATGCTGGATACCACTGATTTGGTTGAATGTCTTCGGAATAAGAATTACAAAGAACTCATTCAACAGACCATCACTCCAGCCACGTACCACATTGCCTTTGGGCCTGTGATAGATGGAGACGTGATTCCAGATGACCCTCAGATACTCATGGAGCAAGGGGAATTCCTTAACTATGATATAATGCTGGGTGTGAATCAAGGGGAAGGTTTAAAATTTGTGGATGGCATTGTAGACAATGAAGATGGTGTTTCACCCAATGATTTTGACTTTTCTGTCTCCAATTTTGTGGACAATTTATACGGTTATCCAGAAGGGAAAGATACACTGCGAGAGACCATTAAATTCATGTACACTGACTGGGCAGACAAAGAAAACCCCGAAACAAGACGGAAGACCCTGGTCGCTCTTTTTACAGACCACCAGTGGGTTGCTCCGGCTGTTGCTACTGCTGACCTGCATGCTCAGTACGGATCTCCAACATATTTCTATGCATTTTATCACCATTGCCAAAGTGAAATGAAACCCAGCTGGGCTGATTCAGCTCATGGTGATGAAGTCCCTTATGTGTTTGGGATTCCTATGATTGGCCCCACAGAACTGTTCAACTGCAACTTTTCCAAGAATGATGTCATGCTCAGTGCAGTAGTTATGACGTACTGGACTAACTTTGCCAAAACGGGGTAAGTTTGACCTCCAGCATTCCTTTTTGTTGATAACATAGTTCTAAAATAGTCAGTATCCATAGCAGTGGCTTCAAATCCTGATCTTGCAGCAGTATTATAGCACTATTTGCGTAAGAGAGAAGGTAACTGGGGCTTATTCATATTTAATAGATTTTTAATTAGTGTGTTCCCTCAAACTATTTTCTTTCAGTAGCTCAGTGAGAATAATAATGCACTGTATTTCTGATTAAAAAAATAGGGCAATTATTAAGACAAAGCATATCTCAGAGAAAAAGTGGCTCACTAAGATACCGAAAAATCAGAGGCAACATGTCTGCTACTTGAAGAAGGAACTGTCAGGCAGATAGCACTTATCTGCTACAAAAGAACGGAAGTTCTTGTTTTTAGCGACCTTCACAGGGATGGGGACTCAGGGAGGAATCAGAACAGAAAGGCAGACACTGGAAAGATTTTTCCCTCTGAGGGCTATAATGGCAATAATAAGTACTTGACTTGGAATGAAGACGAGACTGAGAGAAAATTTTTGCTTTGAGAAGGTTAAAAATTTAAATTAATTCTGCTTACGAAACAAAATGAAGACATCAATGTTTTGCTGGAATAGAGTTGTAAACATCAAGGAAAGAACCCTCAAAGCAGCTTAATCTGCAAATGCTATTAATAATTTCTGTGCTCTTCCTATAGCATTCTTTTAAAGAGTATTGCAGTGTTTTACTTGAGCAGCAAGGGCTTTTTTGTTAACCTTGAGTCTTCGGTACTGAATTAAAACAAAGATACTTGTGGTACAAAGGGGCTATAAATCTTTCCAATGAATGTTTAATGGCAGGATTGGGCTCTGGAAACTGCAGCTTCACTGCACTGCAGTGAATGGTATGCAGCTATATAAGAAAAATTCAGAGATGCCTACTGTGAAACACTCAGAGGCTTCAGCAGCTCTTGCTGCCTTTAATGAATCCAAATGACGTCCAAAGGAGAGAGGTTTTGCAGTCTTAACAAAAACCTCGAGCATGAATTGAGTAAAAAACAGATGCATCAGGTCAATTTACAAGGCAAAAAGAAAGCTTTTGTTGCACTGCATTTTAGGCAAACAGGTATTTTTGCATGCAGAAATTCCACAGTACGCAACAATAGCGAATGAACTGTGGCATATTTAGATGTATTTGGCAACAAGAAGTCATCAGTACTGGGATGGACAAACTTCAGGATGAAAGCTCAGATTATGGGCAGAGAATGCCGCATGTGGGCTGTATCACACACTCAGAAAGATGATTATACCATCAGTCTGTTTTTTTATAGATGAAGTGCCACATATACATAGAGGACTTCTACATCATTGGAATTATTATGGAGATGCAAAGTCTCCACAGTCTCACTATTATTTACAATTACTTTATGACTATTCCCTGTAGTCATATTTAAGCAATTTTTTGAGGCTGACAGGAGCCTCTCACAGCCCCAGCTGCTGCCATTACTCATAATTGCAAACACTTTCCAGCTGTTGCTACTTGAAAGCTAATTTCAGCAGGCTATACATGCCATTACCCAGTTCTCTGGTTACGAACCCATTGTCATACCACACCTAAAGGCACAACAGGTGCTTTGGGAGAGCTATTAGTCATTTCTGAAACTTCACCACTGATGATGGAACATGAATGGGGTATATCTTCTGTTACAAACTTGCCCCTTTATACACAGTCTGAAAGATGTGTCACTAAAAGTGACAGCTGTAAAATTTCAGTTTTCACGACCCAAGATGCATTACCTTGCTTTTTTTTTTCTTTCTTCATTTACATGAACAATGATTAATTGTTCTGGATAGTACAAGGGAATACTTTGGGGAAAATATTATTTTAAGATTACATTTGCTCTGCACCTCTGGTGCCTCCAAAGGAAAAGGGAAGGTTGTAGCGCCTCAAGCCCAGAGCAATAGGGGACATATCTGGGGTAACTGTTCTCTCTACCCTCCCACATGCAATCTGGAATCCGTGTGCCTACTCAGGTCCTCCAACTCTCAAAAAGATTGATGTGGTTCAAGACTGTGTTGTTGGCAGCTTTGTTTTATTGGTTATTTTTTTTATTTTCCTGCCCTTTTTTTTGATTGATCATTTCCCATCCTTATTCTGATAGAACTTGGCTTTCTTTGTGTTTGTACCCATGGCAACACATATGAAAAATCTGTTAACTGCAAGATTTTATTATTCCACATTTCCCTGTAGGTGAGCCTTGAACATTAAAACTGAAGATTTATTTATTTAATTTTAATGTCTCTGAGACTTTTCCAGTCTTGATGACTCTCCCACAGAGGCTGGATCCAGGTACTTACTGTATAATTACGGCTCAGGTTGGTGCATCATTCTGATGGACTGTGCTGGGCTTTTAACTGACATGCCACCTGCTGCTAAAAAACACACATTGTTTAATGGGCCTGCTGCCAAGGCTGGGTTTGGAGGGCAGGTCAATCCTGTAAAATCACTAGGTGTCAAAGACACAGCACAAGGCACAGTGCTTTTATTATGTTTTACATTGAAGTCAGTTGCTGAAGCTAGCAAATAGGAGGTGACAGTTAAAATGACTGTTTAACGGCAAATGGATCGTGCTTGAAATGAATACCTGGAAGCTGTATTTTGTTAATCTCTATTTTCTACCTTGCTATTACTTTTTTTTTATTTTTTATTAACAATCATTTTGGCCTTTTCAAAACTATGTTTCTAACATGCCTTAGAAATAGGAAACCAATTTGTTACAGAGAAGGTGTGAGAAACTACATTTGAGATACAAAAATAATGACGTAAAAATATGGCTTTTGATTCCACTATGTCCAAAATTATATGTGAGAGCTTCATTAAGAGGTACACTTAAAGCTTCAGTCTACTGCCAGCAGTACTACCCTAAATGTAATGGTAATGTTATACGCTCAAATGTTCTGTTAGTTAGGGACATGTTACATCCTTCACAGATAGATCAGCCCTACTTAGGTTGGTTATGGGAAAGATAAACGCCTAAAGAATGTATCCTTGTTTTCTCTGTAATTCAGATAAATACTCCTGAAGTATTTTACTACCATTGATTCTGAAGCAAAAAACTGAATTAAGGATGTCTATGTTTTGTATTCAGTTTGGCTTTCTAATGGAGGACACAATTAAACTTATAATGATTAAAGTGTATTTTCAAATCAATTCTCTGTGAACTCCTTTATGACGCTGTTGCATTTCTTTTTGATGTTTTTGTCTGAAGAAATAACTGTTTCCAATGGCCAATCTGTGTTAGTCAAACAAAAGAGTGTATTTATGGTTTGCTTTCCTTAGTAGTTATAATAGCTGACTGGGAGCATGGCAATAGTGGGACCTGGTGATAAGTGAGGAAAGGAAGTAAGGGAAAATATGCTTGTGTAGCAGTGCTTTAGGCAGGAATGGCTGTAACATGAAAAATCAGTGGAAGCATGAAGTTTTTCTCTCTCCTTTTTTTTTTTTTTTTTTTTTTTTTGCCATATGGAGAAAAGAGGACTTCTGAAAGAAAATAAATGATCAAGGGGCCTTTCAGTGTCTTGGAGATAGATTCAGTATGTAACTGTTAAGACATTTTGATCTCCAATGAAGTTAGAGAATGACACAAAAGAATAAGACACTTTAAGTGCATTAACATAACGGTTCCATTGTCCGTTGTGATAGTTAATGATATTGCAGAAGTAATAAAAAGGGGAATGGTATTTCAATATGTTATATGGAATTCAGGATAAGAGAAAACTTCTTAAGATTCCCTATAATTCTTCCTGTGCCAGTATCACCAGATATGAAATACTCAGTTCCCTCATTTGCCCCCCAGGTCAGCTACTAACTCACCTTGTGAACAGGAATGTGTGTTGCTGTTCAGTCAGCATCCATTGCAGACACATTTACTTTATATCACCTGAGAAAAAAATCAATAAACAGCAACATGTTAAATTGAGCAAAATCACTGCAGACTGAAAGCGAGGAAAAACTGTGATAAGTGAAATCAGATGGTTCTGCACATTAATAAAAAATACCTAACGTAAGGTAAGGTAAGGTAAGGTAAGACAAGACAAGACAAGACAAGACAAGACGATCTTATGGTCTTCTATCATATGGAAGAAAAGTTCAGTCTTTTCATGATGAGGGCACTTTTGATGGAGAAGATGTTTAAATTGAATTCTGAAGATGGTGAAAATAAATAATCAGAGAGCAAAATGAACAACAATAATAGTCAATTTTGTTCTAGCAATAGGATGAATAAATTAAAAAAAAAAAAAAAGCCTCCCTGCCAACTAGTACGATTGGGAAACAAGTTATCTAGTCCCTGTGAGAGCCATTACTGGAAGAAGTACAAAACTGAAAATATATTATTCAGATTATATTTTTATCACCATGATTGCAGTGGGTTTTTAAAGGAAGGATTCGTAGCAGCCTTTTGTTCTGTAATTGCACACTTGGGCCTCAAGAATGTCCAGAAACACAAAGGTGATGTGAGAGGCTAAAAAAAGCAAAAGAAAATTTTAAGTAAAAGTAACATATCAAAAGTTTTTTCCAAACAGCTGATTCAATAGGAACAATGATTGTATGTATATATATTTTTTATATTTTTTTATGCCTATATATAATACTGAAAAAGTATTCATAATAGGATAAACTGCCCAACTTCCCAAGAAAAAGACTTAACATGTCATAAGTTGTAACCTTATGATTTTATGAATTGTCTCCAGCGCACATAGGAGGAAGGCCAAGGAAAGTAAAAATCCTCTTATTTATACCTACTGAATATTTTTGGTAAATTATCATGAGTCTGTAAAACCATGATGCATGCATTATTAGATCCTCTACTTAGGACAGGACTTAGTTACTCCATTTTCTTGTGGGGAAAAAAAAAATAATATTTACATACCTATCCTCCAATTCAGAGAGAATATTCAGACCATTTATTTGGTTATTAAGTGATCAACCCTAGAGTTGATGCCAATGATAGAGTTCTGATACTCTCAGAGAAAAAAAAAAAAAAAAAAAAAAAGACTTGTCTGTAGGGCTGGCTGAATTTTTTTTTTTTCTGTTCCTTGTTTCAGTGGACAACTTCATGCCCACACACAGCCATTTAAACATATCCTGAAATACAAGACTAGCCTCATGTAATGTAATTTTCTCTCCTGTGTTTGGAGGAGGCAGCAGCATAATTGGCTATTCCTAATAGATATAGTTAAAAAGAGAAACAGAGGTAGAGAATGGAAGAGAGGGAAAGGAAAGGGAGGTTGATATTTACTTGTTGTGTAGGCTGTTTGTACGGGAAGGGAATGCTAATTTTAAAAATGTTTATTTGCTAAAATCATCATCTGCTGTCATTTTTATAGGGTCATTAAAAAAAAAAAAAGAATGAAAAAAAGTGCATGTCTATCTTGGCTCATTGAAATGAGTGCTCAGCTTCTTCATCTCCTGTACTGTGAATTAAGTGCAACTTGTTTACATGAGCTAGCTTAATTTATACATCTTCTGTAGGACCTGTCCCAAACTCTTTTGTGCTGTGAATCAGAACAGCAAATGAGGAGAACACAAGATGGATTTTGTGCTTTAACTCTTGCAGGATTTTGAGTTTCTGACAAGAAAAATGCTTTGCATTTTGATAATCTTCCTGATTTTTAACTTGCTTTAGTATTTATGTGTTGAACCCCAAAATACTGTAGTAGTAGTAGTACATATATTGAACTGGGCCAATATCTTCACTGGATTTGCCAAATCTTTCAGTCTGTTCTTTAAGAACAAAATAAATACTTTTATTTCCTTCTTAAATGCATGTTAGAATCCTCAAAGTAGCAGCATACATCTGCTGCTGTACTGCTTGAAAGCGGATATTACTCCTCTATCTTCAACTGGGATGAACAACTCAGCAAGCATCCTTTTGTTCAGAATTAACACACTTTGGCTAACTGCTACTACAAAAAATGAAAAATAAACAGATGGATGGATAGATAGATAGATAGATAGATGGATGGATCGATGAAATAGCCACAGTTCTGGAACCCCTAGTCTATGTATTACTGAGATGGGAAAGATTTGATACAGTATAATATTTAAGACAAAATAAAACAAAACAACCCAAAACAACCCACCTAAAAAAACCCCAAATACCTAAAACCACAGTCATAAGTAAGCCAAAGTACCAAAATTATGTAGAAGAATTATTCTTCTTTTCACTCAAAAAAAGGTAAGATAAATTCTTTCAGATAAACAGATGAATACAGGAATCATGAGATTATTAAAGTCAAATTGCCAGTCTGGTTAAAGAACTAAGGAATAGCTCTTTATGAACAGCAAAGGAATGCTAAACCAGGCAAACATGTTCATTAGCATTTGAAAATGGAAGAAGAAAAAAAAAAACTAAGATGCTTTAAAATCAGTGGGTCTTGGTATTCCCGTAACATACATAACAGTATATTGGAAGAAAAGGAAAATATTAGAATCATTTTCACAGGAAATAAAATAATGCATATGGGAATGGAAAGGAGAATGGAAAGTTCTGAGAGTAATGCACAGAAAATGAATCATGCAGTCTCAGTGTAATATATCACAAAGCCCCAGAAAATATGCTTTGCTGCAAAAGAAGATTCAAGCTCATGCACAACAGAATATTAAACTCAGTATTAGTAATTTTAAATTTCTGTATTTTTTCATGCTGAGAAGAAGTCACATTAATGTAAGGTTTACCAAAATTATAAGGATACATAGACATGAACCACATTTAAATGCTTTTTGTGCCATTGGTTTGTCTTCATTCAGAATCTATAAGAAAAAAAGAAAAAAGATTATAAAAGCATAATTTAAATTAAATGTTTGGATTATCAATTTTTAAATTATCTCTGAGTAGTGTACTATTATCACAGTCACAGAATCATGGAATAGTAGGAGTTGGAAGGGACCTCTGGAGATCATCTAGTCCAACCCCCCTGCTAAAGCAGGATCACCTAGAGCAGGTCGCACAGGATCACGTCCAGACAGGTTTGGAATATCTCCAGAGAAGGAGACTCCACAGCCTCTCTGGGCAGCCTGTTCCAGGGCTCGGTCACCCTCACAGTCAAAAGGTTTTTCCTCATGTTCAGATGGAACTTCCTGTGTTCCAGTTTGTGTCCGTTGCCCCTTGTCCTGTCACTGGGCACCACTGAAAAGAGTCTGGCCCCTTCCTCTTGACACCCTCCTTTTAGATATTTATAAGCATTGATCAGATCCCCTCTCAGTCTTCTCTTCTCCAGGCTAAACAGACCCAGCTCTCTCAGCCTTTCCTCATACGAGAGATGCTCCAGTCCCCTCATCATCCTTGTAGCCCTCCGCTGGGCTCTGTCCAGTAGTTCCCTGTCTGTCTTGAACTGGGGAGCCCAGAACTGGACACAGAACTCCAGATGTGGCCTCACCAGGGCAGAGTAGAGGGGGAGGAGAACCTCCCTTGGCCTGCTGGCCACACTCTTCTTAATGCACCCCAGGATACCATTGGCCTTCTTGGCCATGAAGGCACATTGCTGGCTCATGGGGAGCTTGTTGTCCACCAGGGCTCCCAGGTCCTTCTTTGCAGTGCTGCTTCACAGCAGGTGAACCCCTAACCTGTACTGGTGCCTGGGGTTACTTCTCCGTACATGCAGGACCCTACACTTGCCCTTCATTAGGTTCCTCTCTGCCCAAGTCTCTAGCTTGTCCAGATCTCACTGAATGGCAGCACAGCCTTCTGGTGTGTTGGCCACTCCTCCCAGTTTATTATCATTAGCAAACTCGCTGAGGGTACACTCTGTCCATTCAGGTCATTGATGAATATGTTGAACAACTCTACTACTACTTTACTACTTTAAAACTTGTTGATGTCAGCTAATATGTTTCTCATCCCTACAAACTGGGACAGAATTAAGGCTCACTGCCCTACAGCCATTAAACATATTTATTTAGCATTCATGGAGCAATGAGCACATGGAACTTTCAAATAGTAACCTCCTGATGCAAATGATGGAAAGATTTGCAACATACAAATACTTCAAAGGCTTTTCCCTAAAGCAGACATCTGAACAAAAGGGCACTAATAGCTCAGTAAAGGAACACAAAGAGAAATAGTTCCCAGTTTCGTGTAGCCCTGCTACTTCATGTTTTGAAGTTTTTTATGTAATATGCACAGCTAGTATAAATTCTTATGGTCACATGAATTTCCAGCATTGCCATGGGGATTAGATGCCCATATTTACTCGTTACAGCAGTGGAAGCAGTAGTACCTTAAATGTGGAACTTAATATCAAACCTTGGGAAGAGCTGAACTTACACCTTTACTATGGGGAAAGGTAGTGCCTCTCTAAGACAGCTTTGGATGATACTGCATCACAGAACTTCAGATGAGCTTTTGCAAGCTGAAACACAACACTTTATCCATTTCCATGTAAAAAAGTATTATAGTGTCTGAGATGCACTGTACAGTAAGTAATTTTTCTTTTGTTTATTTATTAACATCTGTTGTTAAGTTTGGGAGGGTTTTCTAGCTTCTATTTTTAGATTATGTTAATTGTCAGAAACACCATTAACTAAAGGATGGAGGGAGGTTGGGTTTTTCTTTTTTTGTTGTTGTTTTTTGTTTTATTTTGTTTTTTAAAATGACTATAATATTGCCTATTTTTATTTTTTTAGGGATCCAAACCAGCCTGTTCCACAGGACACAAAGTTCATCCACACAAAACCGAACCGCTTTGAAGAAGTGGCCTGGTCCAAATACAATCCTAAAGACCAGCTTTATCTGCATATTGGCCTGAAACCCCGAGTTCGTGATCACTACCGAGCAACAAAAGTTGCTTTCTGGTTGGAGCTTGTACCTCACCTTCACAACCTGAATGAAATATTTCAGTATGTTTCCACAACAACTAAAGTCCCCCCTCCTGACATGACATCATTTCCTTATGTGACACGACGTTCTCCTGGTAAATTGTGGCCAGCCACCAAACGCCCAGCAATGACACCGGCCAACAATCCCAAACATTCAAAAGACACCCATAAAACAGCTCCGGAGGATACAACAGTTCTGATAGAAAATAAGCGAGATTACTCCACGGAGTTGAGTGTCACCATTGCTGTGGGGGCGTCCTTGCTATTCCTCAATATTTTAGCTTTTGCTGCGTTATATTACAAGAAGGACAAGCGGCGTCATGAGACTCACAGGCGCCCTAGTCCCCAGAGGAACACAACCAACGATATTGCACACATACAAAATGAAGAGATTATGTCGTTGCAGATGAAACAGCTAGAACATGACCACGAGTGTGAATCGCTGCAGGCCCATGACACACTGAGACTAACCTGTCCGCCTGACTACACGCTTACTTTGAGAAGGTCCCCAGATGACATCCCGTTAATGACACCCAACACCATAACCATGATTCCAAATACATTAACAGGAATGCAGCCTTTGCATACTTTCAACACCTTCAGTGGAGGACAAAACAGTACAAATTTGCCTCATGGACATTCGACCACTAGAGTATAGCTCAGCCCTTCCCCCTCTACCCTCAGAAGCCACTTGGAAGAAAGAAAAAAACAAAAACAAAAAAAAAAAAAAAGAAGAGGAAAAAGTTATAATACCATCCATTGAACACCTTGTCAAAATCTAAAGTAAAAACAAGTAAAAGAGAAGGACAGTCATTATTTTCTTACTGATCCTTCCCACAGAAACTCTCTGATGTTAAAGATCAACTACAAACCCTGTGAAATGTGAAAAGTGTACATTGCTGTTACGATACTGCTTTAAGATCTCAGCCACTTTGAAAGTTGAGGCCAGAAGTCGTCACTTAAAATGGTGTTTTGAGTGTAACAAGCAAAGCAGAGTCTTCTGGAACACAGAGCCAGTGACTGTACAGGTGTTTTGGGTTTTTTGTTTTGTTTTGGTTTGGTTTTTTAATAAATAAAATAATTAAAAAAATTCTTTATGTGCCATATGAATGGCCCTTGTTAAAACAAAGACATCACCATGGGCTTTTATCCAGCATATGAAGCTGTAATCCAGATGGGGGAAATAATAGAATTTTATTATTAAAAACAAAAATGAAAAAAAAGAGGAGGACTGACTATGCAGTAAAATACGTATAGTTCTGTGCAAAGAGATGACTTGCCAGCCTGAACTATATTTAAAGATACGTTGTAAAAATGTACATAGCTGTGAGTTTAAAAACAACAAAAAAAGAAGCTTTTATCGATGTTTTCAGTTTGAAAAGAGCTTTTAGAAAGATTGTGCATTCTGTTGTGACCTATGTGTATATACATTAGTCATATCACCTCTGTTTCCTCCAAGCCCAAAGGAGGAATTTCTTCTTAATTACTAGTGGTAAACAGAAAACATGAGTTTTTTCTAACATGTTTCATTTATATAAGGCCATGGTGTCATGCAGAGGATACAGTTGTCTGTGTGACCTGCATATTTTCTCTTACAGGTTACACTAGTGCATGTTAAAGTATTCATAGGAGATTGTTGTTCTTTTCTGAAACTTATTTTTTTCCTATAATTTGTGTTAGCCTTTCTTAAATTGCAACACAGCAATGGATTGGAAAATGGAGAAGAAAAAAAAAAAACACAAAAGAAAATATTTACTATTTTAAGCTTGTTGAACTGAACCAAGAAACATCCAATAATATATATTCAGAATCCATTTTGTAGTTCTTGGTTATTGTGATACATTAGAAAGAGTTTTGTGCCCTGACAAAAAGCAAAGAAAGCCTGTGTTTTGGTCAGCCTTTTCTGAGGAAAACTAGCTCTATATTCACCAGCAGTTGCAGCGGAATCTCAGTTGAGAAAGCACCTTCTTAGCTTTGCTAAACAAAATAAAACTACAATTTGAAAGTGGGGAAATGGTGGGTTGGTTGGCTGGCTGTTTTTTAAAGCGTTCAGAAATGATCAGTGTGTAAAGAACTTCACTGCCCAGTATCCTGTTTTGTGCTTGAGAGCGTACCTGTCAGAAAATACTTTTTTTGCTGATTTATTAGACAGCAGTCCCATAGTCAGTGAACACTGTGGAGAGAGAAGCAGAGACGTCGTCAGCTGTTTCTGCATCTGAATAAAACTGAGCATCACTCTCAGGAAGGGCAAAATTGTTAGCTGATTATTCCCTTCTGCCCTTCCTTCACTAGGAAAGCAGGGGCCAAGCAGAGCTATCAAACGAAGGAACTTGGCAGTTTGATTCAAGTAACTCATTTGAATGTGAAAAGCTAGAAATAAGTTCTCGCAGATGAAGATTGCTTTATATTTTGTCTTTGAAAGTTACTCCATCATCGAGAGACAGTAACCAAAGATATTTGAACAAATTGGTCTGCACTGGAACATGATTATCCCAGATGTATTTTCTATTATTAATTCACAACTAAGCTGCATCAATATCATATGTCCCATAAGTATCTAACACAAGATGCCTTGTACCTCTTCTTGTTTTCTATGCTTTTTGTTTTCTAATAAAATGTCTTGGAATAGTCACCCCTACAAATAAAATCAAAGACAAGGTAATTCACTGAGGTCTATTCATCTGCACAATTCCTTGTTGTAGCAAGCAGTAAAATAGATTCTGAAGGAAAGAAATAAAAAGAAAGTTAATGACATGATAAAAATGCAACACGTGGCTGATATAATCCTTTATCTGTAATAAATGTGCTATAAACCTGACCTGGATGCTCAGGTTGGAATGCAATGAAACAACAACCCCAAAGTACAACTAGTAGCAAGTGGAAAACTGTTTTGTTTTTTTTCACTGATCCATCACATAATGTTGATTAATGCTGACTCTATACCAGGGCATTTCCACCATGCAATGCCTCAGCTGATATGCAGCAGCTCATAACTCTTAAAAAAAGGTAAAAAAAAGAAAAAAAAATAAAAATAAAAAAAGGTAATGATACTTGGCATCATAATCAGTTGGGTATGTTTGTAATGTGAATTACAGTATTTGTTTAGTACTTCCAATTGTCTTCTGCTAGCAATATGTACAGTACTGTGTCAGGCTTGTGACATTTGGGTAAAAAAGAAGTTCCTGTAAATGAATGATTTTAGCTTTTAAAAGTAATTACAATCAAGTTGATTTAATAATTTGATACATCTGGACTGATGTATGATTTATAGAGGGAACAGATTTATAGGGTCTTCATAGAATTCTATAATAATGATATCAAAATTTACCTTGCAAACTGTAAAAGAAAAACAAAAGTACTTTCCCAGGCTTATATTCTTGACCTTAAGAGGCACGCAGGGTTTAATGGTTTCTTCTGTTATTGTTTTGCAATTTTTTGTTTTTTTGCCTTAAGTAATGATAGAAGATATATATGGCTGGACACATATGTATAAACTTTTCAGCAGCATTTTTAATAATAAAATATCACAGTATTTTCTAATGCTTTGTGCAAAGAACTACGTGTTCATCCTTTTGTGTAGAAAGTCTTTCAGAGGTGTGTTTTCTGCCCCATCTCCATTTCATTATCTAATGTCAACAATGCCTTGATACACAGTACAAAAATATTAAAGTAACAGAGGTTGCACTTTTAAGTTAGCGTTGAGTTTTCATGGCTTTTGTAGTTCTATAAGCTTGCCAGTAAAAGGAAAGAAACTTAGACAATGAGGATATAAGAGAATAAGCTCCATATATTTATTACCTGGATGCACTGCAACTCCCATCGAAGCAATGGTTTAATTGTTCTGTTAGTATTTTCAGTAGCACTGAAAAAACCTTGGGTAAGCAGCTTCCCATGTTAGTGTATAGCTTAGCGGCTGAAAAATGTATCTTCCAAATTAGAGATCAAAATAATTCAGATAAATCTAATACATCCAGCCTCCACAAGCAAATATACTTTCATTTTATATTTAAAATTTAGATAAACAATGAATTGTGTTAGAAAAAATATGTAGGAGTACCAATATAAGTTACTCATATATATTTAAGGGTTTTACGTATATTGCAGGTGTGTTAATATCATTCTTCCTTCAAAAGCTGAGTAAGTGAATATAGTTTGTTCTTTTATGCTGTTACATTCCATTTATCAACCGGGTTTCCTTTCACTGGAAAGGTACATAGACAATTTAGGCTGGGTATTGTTTGCTTTCTGTAACTATTCGGCTGAATAGGGGTACTAACAATAATTTTTGATTAATTTTGAGCATATTATTGAAGAGTATTTGCAAAAAGCAAATTCTGAATGATTCATATGAGATTTTTGATTGGAAGAGTCAAGCTTATGAGATAGAAACATATTATGTGCCTACTGACCTAATCAAGCAGCTTGAATTTTGAATATTGAATTTGTATATAAAGCTTTTGCAAATAAACTGCAGATTTACAATTGTGCAGCAAATATGTTTAATTGCAGGTACACTTTGAAATTCCAGAGAATTCAGATAATTCATACACAAGAAAAGGGGTTACAGTTGTGTCATTTCTGTGAATTTTTCACCTAAAATTGCTGGGTGAACTCAATAATATTATTACCTTCTTTTCAGTTAATCAATTTCACATTAAAAAAAAAAAAAAGGAAAAGCTTCACAAGTTTGTTCATGCTAACTAAATATTGTGTTGTTTTATTTCTTTACTGTCTGAAATATAAATCTGCAGATTAGTGTGTTCCTTATTTTGACTTTGCTAAGAGTATGACAACTTAATGGTATTCAATAACACATAAAAATCATATGAAATAATACCATGACAATTATGTGCTTGTCTCAGATTTGTAGTTTGACATTTGTATTATTTAATTATTGTCAACTGTTTCTCGTGTTTTCATCTACAGCTGTTTGACATCACAAACCTCATCAGCCTGAATCTCTCTAGAGGCCATTAGCAGCTGGTAAAAACTGGGATTTTCATCCCACTAGAAATTATGATATTATGTATTTAATATCATAATATGTTAAAATGCTTCACAGCACCTCAAATTAGCCTGAAAGGCAAGATAAAAACCTTTTATTAATGCAAATGAAAAAAAAAGGAAGGGGTTTGGAAATGTCTAAACATCTTGTTTGAGCTGTAGCGTAATAAATAACATTTCACTTTGGGATGAAGTTTTGATTCAAAACATTTTGTTTGGTGTTCCACTGTGGCCACCAAGGTCCTCACTGTGTCTTCTAAAAGTTATATTTTAAGGAAGTTATGCTTGCTTAGTTTTTTTATAGCCCACCCAGACTACTTTATCCAAATTTTACTGTGGTAAAAAAACCCAGATCACTCAGGGATGACGTAGGTGCGATCCAGTCACAAAATCCAGATCAGAGAAAGAATTTTGTCATACACTAAGTGAACTGCAGCTCCCCTGAGACACAGTGGTAATTAAAGAGAATATGCATTGATATTCCAACAATTCAAATGTAAAATAAGCATGTAATAAATTAGCTATATTCCATTTTTTTAATGGAAAGTCAACACATTTTTGCAATATCTACATTTTCCCAACTTAGTTTTCCCCTTCCCGACAAAGAATAGCAAATAATTTTCAGCCAGTCCTAATAATTTCTGGAATATCCACTTATACAAATGAGAAATGAAATAGATGACATCTTTTTCTTTCCCCTTCTAC